AAAGCTGAAGTCCACCTCCACTGTCTGGAGCTTCCTGGGAAGAGCTCTCCCCATCCACTCCTGGTCTATCAGAGAAAACAGCAAGCCCTGCTCACTAACCTGACCTAGATCTGTCAACTGATCCAATTTTTCCCCATGGGAAAAAAATAAATGGGGGGAGATCACAATATGGGTATTTTTAAGTGAAAACTGCAAGAAAAATACACAAAGCAGACACTTCTGATATCAAATGCACTCGTCTGAGGTGGAAGTCAAAAGAAGACGGAAAAACCAGGAGCCAGGGTTATTGTGCTGGATTCCTTTGGGGATAAAGGAGAAGTTTTTGTGAGACACAAGGATATCCCAAAATTGGCTGCAGCCCCCAGAGCACCAGTCTTGTACAGAGGGATGGTCCCTAGGCTGGTTCAGAAGTTCAGTTTTACCAAAGGAGGTTTTTTCCCAAGCTCCCAGCTCCCACCTGATCCCCTCTGCTTATCAAAATGATATTTATCTCCTTTTGACCCATGAGGCTCATCCCAAACGTGGCAAAGAGAGAGCAGTCCCACACCAACTTGGACTTCCATAAAATCCCCAAATCTGGCACCTTTGCTCATTTTGGTCCCTGTTTGAAAGCAAAAGCTCAACTCCAAGCCCAAGCTGCAGCCCCAAGCCCTTGCCATGAACATCTGAGATGTTTTTTGCCTGCTCACGTGCCCACTGTAGATGGCCACAGGCACCTTGTTCACGTGTGTTTCATGGCCAGCAAACAGCTGCAGGTCCTGACATTTGTGTCAGCACTTGTGGGACCTCACACATCTCCAGTCCACCTGTGGGGTTCCTAAACCTGGTGTAGCTACAACACCGACCTACTCCAGCACCTGCTCCCGTGCTCTAAAGTAGCTCATTACACACAACAGAGTTTCCATTTTGATTTTTGTCATTTTGATCCCCCTCTCTTTTGATGGAGATCTCTCAGTATCAGCAACTACAACTTTACTCCTCCTTGTATCCTGCCAATCCGCTGCTGTGCAACCAGAGCAGTGCAGGGATGCTCCCAGGGAAGCAGCAGCAATCCACACAGGGAAAACCCCACCTGCAGCTCCACCACCCAAACCCAAATCCCAAGCCCCTTCCCAGCATTTTGGGTGCCATCCAGCGTTTCACACAGTGCAACTGCTTTCCAAAGGTCTGCTCAGGTTCCTTGCTCTGCTGCATCTTAAAAATGTGCCAATTAATGCCACGTGGTGGCCTGATTTCCAGAGGTGCTGATGGCTCCTCACAGCTCCACTGAGAATCAACAGGAGTGACAGATGTTCAGCCACGCTCCAAATCCACAGGCGGAGTGCGCGCCCCTCCTTTTATGTACTGCATATAACTGGGTTATCTAATCATGTAGGTATTGATTATTACTGTTATTACCTATTAAATAGCTATTTTCTGCTGTTGGGGTGAATATCACATTTTATTGACCCTCACTATAACTATTAACCACATCTAATATTTTTCCCGAGGACCAATAAATCCGGGCATTCACAAAAAGATGTCGATACGTGTAATTTTTCTTATACACATTCATTAGTGCAATTACATCCTGCACGAACTGCCAGGAGGTTTCCCCTCACCCCTCCACTGAGAGAAAATTCTCACAGGATGCCTAGCCCCAACCCAGATTCCAAATCCTGCCTTTCCTGAGGGGAAGCACCCAGCCTCTCCTCCCTGTGGATTTGTCTCTGGGTCAGATCCAGCCTTTCCATCCCACACCAGCACAGCCTGTCTCAGTCTGGGAATTATCTGAATCCCAGCCACATCGAACGAGCGAATAATTCTTTCGGATGAGGAACGCTCTGTGTAGGATGTTGACACATGCTATTATTTTACATACCTATTTCAGCTTGTATGCTTATTAGAATAAGGTCTTTATGCTAATTTGTAAATCAAATTCCCATAATTCTTGGCTTACTGATGCTAAAGGCCCAGCTAAATCTTCTATGACCTTTTAGCCTGGTTAATCCTTTTACGCGTGGCTGAGTGAAGAGTTTTCTTGTCTCTCCCACTGCCGAGTGCTGGGGTGAGATTTTTGCCTGTTCCTTAAGAAATCCAGGTGGGCTGTGAGTCAGGGACATGGGGCACATGTGAGGACACCCCTTTACTCTGAGCCAGGGAAAGGGGGAGGAGAAAACGCTGCTGCCTGGTCCCTGTGTGAGGATATTTTGGATTTCCATAGCTGCTATTTAAAAATCCCACAGAAGACACGGAGCAAACACAATGAGAGCTGTGTTGCCAAATTGCCACTCACTTCCCGACGCCCGGGGCTATCCCAGCCCTCTGCAACCTCCCCCCTTTCCATCTCCTTTCCCAAGTTTCAGCTGGACATTTTCTGGCTCCATCCTTCCTGTGGGTGGATGCAATGGACACGTCCAGCCCCTTCCCAAGGGGATGCAGCATCCAAGAAATCCCCCAGCTTCTCTTGGTGTCCAACCACGCTGGACATTCCAGGGCTCAGGGGGCTCCTTCCTGACGGACACAACACTCAACAGCTCCCATTTTAGGGCCACAATTCCACAAATCCAACAAATCTACAAAATTTCTACAAAAGCGAATCTACAAAACTCGGAGGACCCACAGATGTTTCCACAAATGCAGGTGGTCAAACGCTTCTGAATTATCCCACTTCACACTCCACTTTCCTCTCAAGCACACTCACAAAACACTTTTCTTATTGTTTGTTTGGCTGGAAATGGGGAAATGACCTGGAGTATGGATGAACCGCTGCAGAGGGCAGCACACATCTCTGGAGATATTTGGAGATTTGTGCAAAACACAGTTTTCCTGTATGACAATAATTTTCACGCTTTCAAACACAAGCCAGCTCCACTTCTGGACACCAAAAGAGGGAGAAAACTTATGAATTCCAAAAACTGCTTTGATTATCAGAAGAATCAATCAAGCAGAAGCACATTACTGATGATTTTCAGCACTGCATACAAACCTAAATATTACCTTGGGGTTGAATGAACCCAAATTTCTCAGAACTCTCCTTAAAAGTTTGTGCTAAAATACAAAATTATTTATAGGGTGCATTTGGGGTTTTTTTTTAATGACTCCTAAATAAAATTATGCAGGGAAAAAAAAAAATACCTCCCGAGGGGACTCCTGCCCTCCAACAATGCAGCAACTCCCAGCCCAAAGAAGGCCCCAACTTTTTGCTGCCGAAGGCTGCCCCGTGCAGCCAGCTCTCACCCAGCTCTCCATGGCTCTGCCCTGGGTCCTCCCCAGACCATGGAGCAAGGTGGTTCCCTGCTTTTCCTCACTCCAGGGGTGATTCAGGGGCTTCTGGAACCCACATCAGATTCCTGCAAGGCAGGGAATTGGGGGATTCCCAATGGCTGTGGGAAGCAGAACATTCCTCCCCACTGCTCTGCTGCCCAGGAGAGTTACAAAAATAAAAAATAAAGAAATAAAAAGCCAGCTACTTTTTGATCTGGAAGCTTTGATGGGAGCAGGGAGAGGAAGCAGGAAGGATGACCAGAGGCATGGAATGAGACTGCAAGGAAGCCAAGTCAGGAGCCCCAAAGCAAGCATTAAAAAATAATAAAATAATGAAATAATAAAATAAACGAAGCACAAAATCTGGGCAGGAGAAGCGAGGAGGGAAAGGTGCAGCTTCATCCCTCTCCTGGGAAAGCCCCGTTTCTTGACACCCCAGGCGGGCTCCCTGCAGAGGTGGCAGCCCCAGGGAAGCCCCCGGGATGCAGGAATGCCGGCACGGGGAGCAGCGAGCCTGGGAGAGGGAGAGAGCTCGAGGAGGGAGAGCGGGAGGAAGGCGAAGAGGAGCGATGCCTTGGCGTGTGATGTGCATGTTAAGCAGCCCGTGCCGGTCGATACGGCACCGGGGGGCTCTCCCCCCGCAGAGGGGGACCCGGCCTGGCCAGCAGAGAGAAGTTTGTGCTGGGAGACACCCAGGCACCATCTCTGGCCGCCCCGCAGCCCCCAGCCCCACACAGCCTGGGCTCCCCGAGCCCACCCGAGCCCTGCTGCAGCGCACCTCGGCACACGGGGGACGAGGCTGCGCTGCTTTGGACATTCCCAGCCTCCGGTGGGCACCTCGGAGCAGCGCAGAGGTAGCTGGATCCGGCTGTGGAGAAGGAGGTGCATTCACCCCCCGGCGTGCATCCATCCTGGGGAGAACCTACATTCCCCCCGGGGAACGCCTGCATCCCCCCCGGCGCGCATCCGTCTCGCCCAGGAATACTCGCACCGCCCCGGGGGTGCATCCGTGCTCCACAGAGCGCCTGCATCCCCTGGCGGGGGGGCATCCATTTCCCCGAGAAGTGCCCGCATCCCGCCCCGGAGCCCCGGGACCAGCCGCCCCCCGTGCAGCATCCCCCGGCGCATCCCCCGGCGCATCCCCCGCTGCATCCCCCGCTCATCCCCCGCTGCATCCCCCGGCGCATCCCCCGCTCATCCCCCTGCACATCCCGAGCTCCCGCGGCGGCCCGGGGCAGGATGCGGCTCCAGCCTCTCCTCCCATGGAGGAAACCCCGCTCCCACAGCCCCTCCAGATGGCTGCGAGGAGCCTAACGCGAGCTGACAGGCTCGGCGCTCCCGGCCAGATGGGGTTGGCTCCTGCCGCCTCTTCCCCCCTCCTTTTCCCATCGCTTTTTGCTCTTTTTTTTTTTTCGCTCGCACAGCTCCCCCCTCCCCTCCAAGCAGCGTCCCCCGGCTGGGGGGGAGGCGGCCGAGCTGGCCCGGGACAGACTGGCTGAGCACTTCCCAACTCGCAGCCCGGCGGGAGCGGGGCTGCACCGAGTTTTTCGGACGACCTTGCTGGAAAAGCAAAGGCGTGGGGGGAGCACAGAGGAACCCCGGCCCCCCTCGCCAACCCCCAGCCTGTTGGATCATTGATCCTGCCAGAATTGTGCCGGGATGGCAGAGTCCTTCTGCACCCGCAAAAATGATCGGGACGCCAGAAGTGTCCCCCCCGCCGCTAGCCCGGTGCACCGGGAATTCCTGCGCCGTACCCGCATCCGCATCCCCCGCAACTTCACAGCGGGCTGGGAACCCTTTCCCAGCTGTGTCCCCGCTCTGGAGGGATCCTCACCCCCACTCTGGGGGGGATTCTCATCCCCCAGCCCCCTTGGAGGGTGCTGCTGTGGGAGCGCGCATCCCCCGCCCGCCCGGGCTGCGTCCCCCGCGGCGTTCCCTACCTTGGGAGAGGAGGAGCGCGGCCATCCCGGCGAAGATCACCCAAGAGACGGGGTGGTGCATTTTGGCCTGGGCCATGTTTTCCTTCTCCTTCCCCACTCACTGCCAGGCGGGGAAAGGTTTAAAATCCAGCGTTTTCCCGGAGCAAAGCGCAGAAAGAGGGGC